CTAAATCTATAGCAGCACAGATGCAGAAAATAGCTCAGGATAACCAAAGTATTTTGGAGAAAGATAGAGCACTGTTCAATTCTGTTAAACAGTTAAAGTCAAAATAATTAGTTTAAAAGTGACAGTTTTGTGATTTTAATGGGATTGTAGTCTCATTTCATTCTATTCTGGAGAGTAAACCATAAAGGGCCCAACAAGAAAATGCTTGAAACCCGTAATGTAGCCTTTATAGCACCACTGATTCACTCAGTGGCTCAGATACCTGCCTTTGTTTTCTTTGTTTTTTCACATCTTTAAAATCCGACCTTAATAATGAGGAAATTAAATGATACAATAAGCACATATGATGTCATCTATTTCCTACATATTTAAAGTAAATTGATAAAGCTGTATACTTTTAGACTTAATCACTGGGTGAATTTAATATTTAATTAAAGTGAATCTGATTAATGCAGGGAATCCTACATGATTAAACAATCTATTTGTTTTCTTTAAAATGACTGGAACTGTAGCCTCCTTTCGCAATTAGAATCAGAACAACAGTTTGAAAAAAGGGGAACGATTTCCACACATTTATTGAATTTCATGGATGTTTGAAGACTGACGTGTCTCAGTTCTACTGATTTAGAATAACTGTATTTCAGTATTGTTTCATGTCTTTACCGAGAAACTGGACAGTTCTTCGCTGTCAGTAAATAACGGTTTTGCTGACATAAAAAAATGAATCATTGCTCTTAATTCATTAGACAGACAATAGTTTATCCTTTCCTTACAGTAGCAGCCATTCAAAATGGCGTTTCCCAGTCGAACGCCAGCAGAATGGCAGCAACTCCCAGCAAAATCCCCTCCAACTTCCAGCCACTGGCCTTCTCCTGGAGGTGCAATATTTTTTACCCTGACTCCACCCTTTCACTGAATTACAGGGTCTGACCAGGAGATGGCGCTCCTCTTTACATCTTTTTGTCCACAAATCACGACAGAAATAATATTTTAGTACAAACATTGATGTTTAAAAAGGAATCGTAGGGGAACAGCCAAAGGTCCATCGATAAAATGAGGAAATTCTGAATGTGTTTCATTAAAAAGCGCCACAGGTCTTATTTTCCCAGTTACATCAAAGCGATAAAAATAGGAATATTTTTAATTAAAGTTTAATTTCGCACAGTTGCTCAGAAAACATCCTGAAGCCCGGTAAATAGGCAGGAATGTTAAAAACATCTTTTATATTTAAAATCCATTTCGGTGCTACGTCTGTGTGTTAGAAGATCCAGCAAAGATTTTTATTTTCTTTATTGTTTCTCCATCTTTATCTACTAACAGGACATCAAACTGATTATATAATGTTTTCTGCCTTATTATTATTTTTCCTAATTACCACTAGCAAATAATGCCCCCCGCCACCCCATGACTCTAACTGTGCAGCGCCATGCAGCCGTCTTCAGCTAACTGCTTCTTTTAACATATTTCTTTATGTTTGTCGTGTTTGTTTTCTTCATTTTTTTATCCCCTCTTTCTTTTATCAACTGTTGGAGATTTACTCTCAGCCGTATAGAAATCCAGTAAGTCTTTTTCTATTTCTCCTCAGATTAACTCTTTCCCACCTCCTCTGTTGTTCAGCATATCTTCACCTCTGTGTTGCTTCATATCACTTTGGTTCACTGTTTTTTGCATGGCTCTCCACCTCACTACTACTTGTCATCACATTAAAGAACCTAAACCTCTCATAAAGAAGGTTATGTCTCCCCCTGCTGTCCGCAGAGTGGTAGCTCTACTGTGCATGCAGGTTTTAGTTCAGTTACTGCAATCAGGCTGCATCTTCATTTTAACATCATCAAAAAGTGTATTTATTTCAGTTATTCTATTTAAAAGGTTTAAACTCATGTAAATTCATTATATAAATTATATTAAAATAAAGAGATGATTTTCCCAGATCTCTGTATCCTTAGAGAACCAGATAATGGGGCTGTTGGCCGTGTGTCCGGGTCCCAAATGTAACATTTTCCTAAAACTTTTCAGAGATGAAAACAATCAGCGCTTTAATATTTCCCCTGCATCTGGTTCCACAACATTTGATAAAACACTGCTGACCAGCAGGGGGCGTAGTAACCAAAATCATCACAGTTTTTAAAGGAAAAGTCCGGTCAGCAAAAAATAATCAATTAATCATTATTTATACCGGAAACTAATACATTCATGGTGATTTAATGAATTTAGCGTTAATCAGTAAAAAGCTAAAAATGAGGTTTTTCATTGCGATTGTCACTACGCTACGGAGCCCCTAAAGGGACATGAAGGAAAAAATAAACTTTTGCGGGATCCCACAATACTTTTGCGAGATCTCGCAAAAAATAAGCTTTTGCGAGATCTCGCAAAACTATTGCGGGATCTCGCAAAAGTTATTTTTTTCTCCCCCTCCATCTCCCTTTAGTGGCTCCATACTACGGGGCCCCTAAAGGGACATGGAGGGAAAAAATAAACTTTTGCGAGATCCTGCAAAACTTTTGTACGGAGCCCCTCTTATGACATGGTCAAAAAAAATGTTT